TGCTGAATGCTTCCTCTGAGTATGATGGCAGGAACGACCCCGCGCACGGTCACCTGCGTATTGCTCGTGCTCGTCATAGTGACAGTGTTAGGGGTGGTGGTGTTCGTCAGGGCAGTGTCGCGGTCGCGGTCGTGGTCTAGTGGCTAGTGGTGGTCATGATTGTCGTAGCAATAGCCATGGCTGTGTCAAGTTTCAACTGTTGGGGAGCTAGCAATTGCGAGCAGCCGGGTCGTAGAAGATAGAGTCTTGCGGCAGCAGCAGAAGCCGTGGGAGCAACATCAGTGGCAGCCTAAGTACAGTAGTGGGCACGGAAGTATTACTAGTTACTGGTAGATAATCAGGCTGCATCTCTACCAACCAGTTGAAATCCGCCGAGGCCAGAGGCCCAGGCGTCTTGGGGGTTACCTCACAGCCGAGGCGGGCGGCGTAGCGTTAAAATTATACCTGGACATACCAAGTCATCATACTTCCCAATGCCATGTCTCAAACTCCCAAACTCGAAGCCTTTGAATCCCGAATGCCGATGCGGATTCTCCACCTACGGACCTCTTCCCCTTCACTCCTGCCCCCAGGAGGGACCTGAGCTTCCGCTCTGCTGTGCCAGCTCCATAGATCCGTCGCCTTGGCCGAGGGACGATGGTGAAAAGGGGGCTCACAGTTGAGAATACCGTTGTATGAGACTCGCGTGTCAGAAAAAACTTGGCATCAGTTTTTAATGGCTGGTAGTCCGAGTTCCAACGGTTTCTTTGATTGTCGCTATGAATCATGTGCTGGCTGCGGTGTTCTTGGCACAAGTCTTCCAATGCAGGTTGCCAAGTTGGCCAACAGTTGGCCAACAGTTGGCCAACAATTGGCCAACCTGTGCAACCTTGTCTGGGAAGCCCTGAACACCAAACCCAACACATACCCTCAATGAGCGTGGATAGAGCCTCCTACGCCGTCGGACTTCCATCTGGATATGCAGGGTCGGTGGCTTGCGTTCCTGCTACGCTCCAAGCTTGAAAGCACTACCGTTGAAAGCCCTCCTTGCCAGCAAGCCACAGTACCCCTGCAGGCGGTAGTGCGCCTGCTGCCCAGAGGACAGGCGTTGTTCATCCTGGCACGCTCTAGAATCTAGAACCGTGGCTTTCGAAGCTTCAACCATTAGCCTTAGAGGATTTACTGGTTAAGTGACTGTGGCAGTGTTTGACCATGCGAAACTGTCGGGATTCACGTAAGTGTGCCAAGTTTGCGCCAAGCCGAAACACATCAAGGACAAGCAAATCGATGGTGGTTCGGCTTGGTAGAGATCTGAACTCCAGTTCGGGCCTTGGGCATACAGTCTCGGGGTGTCGAAAGGCTCGGAAACTCGTCTGCGGCGGTCTTTAAACTGCTCCCAGGATGTCTGAGCCAGGGCTTCCAGACATGTTCAACCCCAAACCGAGGACTGCCACCCAAGACTCAGGCCAAAGATAAATTCTGCATTAACAGCACCACTGCGTTTGCTGCGCGACTTGGTGCTGCTTTCCATTTCAAGCATGGCTTTGCCGATGTGGGTTCCAATTATATGTGCAAGGTGATGAACTAGTTTCGATTCGGCAACTAAAGCCGCAATTGTACTCATCAAAACTATGACATTTCACCGCCAAATCCCGAGACGCAAGTACCTGATTATCTTGTGCTGAATGAACATGACTCACAGTTCCAAGAAGAAGAAGTAGTAGTTGTTGTTGTGGGTTCGGTAGTCGCACCAGTAGTAGTAGCAGCAGCGGCAGCAGTAGTGGCGGTAGTAGCAGCAGTGGTAGCAGCGATGGCAGAAGTCGTGGGGATTGGATGGTGGCAGTATCAGTGGGTTCAGCCGTAGTAGCAGTATTCGCGGCCGCAACGGTCGTAGCAATAGTCGTGGAGGTAGCAGTTGCAGTATGTTGCAGTTGTTGTCGTAGCAGCAGCAGTAGTAGCAGAACTTGTAGAATTGTAGAAGTAGGGTTGTATTGTAGCTATGGCACTCTCAGTGGCAGTACGTAGCAGTAGCAGTAGCCCCAGCATGAGGAGTAGAAGCAGGACTAGGACTAGGACCAGGACTGGGACTAGCACTAGCACTAGGACTAGGACTGGGACTAACACCAGGACTAGTAGTACTCGTAGTAGTAGCAGTAGTAGTAGTAGCAGTAGCAGTAGTAGTAGTAGTAGTAGTAGTCGTAGTAGTAGTAGTAGTAGTAGTAGTAGTAGTAGTAGTAGTCGTAGTAGTAGTAGTAGTAGTAGTAGTAGTAGTAGTAGTAGTAGTAGTAGTAGTAGTAGTACTAGTACTAGTACTAGTACCACTGCCAGTGCAGGGGCCAGTACTAGTACTAGTACTAGCTACTGCTATGATGATGATGATGGTGATGAGCATGATGATCTTGAGTGCTACCGTTATGATGATGATGTTGAGGAGTATGATTATATTGTTGAACATGCTCGCGATGAGCGTCCCCCCCACCCCCGAGTATGATGATGTTGTTGAACATGCTCGCGATTAGCCGCGCCCCCCCACCCCCCCCACCCCAGGTCAATGATGATTCTGATGAGTATGATGATGTTGATGAGTATGATGATGTAAGACAGGTGTTATGACTGTATTTAGGTCGTTAAGGCACTTGGGTCTGCCTGGTCCTTGTTTAAGGAAGTAAAGACGTATAAGCACGGAACTGCTGTAAATACCAACACATCCAGGCCCTCAAACACAGTCGCGGAAGTCCTAAAAGCAGGCAAAACATGGCATCAAATAAGGCCTAATGCCCTAGTAGTAGTAGTAGTAGTAGTAGTAGCAGCAGTAGTAGTAGTAGTAGTCGTAGTAGTAGTCGTAGTCGTAGTAGTAGTAGTAGTAGTAGTAGTAGTAGTAGTAGTAGTAGTGGTAGTAGTAGTGGTAGTGGTAGTGGTAGTGGTAGTGGTAGTGGTAGTGGTAGTGGTAGTGGTAGTGGTAGTGGTAGTGGTAGTGGTAGTGGTAGTGGTAGTGGTAGTGGTAGTGGTTGTGGTAGTGGTAGTGGTAGTGGTAGTGGTAGTGGTAGTAGTAGTAGTAGTAGTAGTAGTAGTAGTAGTAGTAGTGGTAGTAGTGCTAGTGCTAGTGGTAATGCAAGTGCAAGTGCAAGTGCTGGTGCTGGTGCTGGTGCTGGGTGCTGGTGCTGGTGCTGGTGCTAGGTGCTAGGTGCTAGGTGCTAGGTGCTAGGTGCTAGGTGCTAGGTGCTAGGTGCTAGGTGCTGGTACTGGTGCTGATGCTGGTGCTTGTGCTGGTGCTAGTGCTCGTGTGAGTGCTAGCGCCAGTGCCAGCGCCAGCACCCGGGCCCGTGCTGCACGTGGCAGTGCCAGTGCCAGTGCTAGTAGCACTAGCAGCGTAGTAGCAGTAGTAGCAGTAGTAGCAGTAGTAGTAGTAGCAGTAGTAGCAGTAGTAGCAGTAGTAGCAGTAGTAGCAGTAGTACCAGTAAGAGTAGGAGTAGGAGTGGGAGTGGGAGTAGGAGTAGCAGTAGCAGTAGCAGTAGCAGTAGCAGTAGCAGTAGCAGTAGCAGTAGTAGTAGTAGTAGTAGCAGTAGCAGTAGCAGTAGCAGTAGTAGTAGTAGTAGTAGTAGTAGTAGTAGTAGTAGTAGCAGTAGCAGTAGTAGTTATAGTAGTAGTAGTAGTAGTAGTAGTAGTAGGTAGTAGTAGTAGTAGTAGTAGTAGTAGTAGTGGTCGTAGTGGTGTAGTAGTAGTGTAGTGGTAGTGGTAGTGGTAGTGGTAGTGGTAGTGGTAGTGGTAGTGGTAGTGGTAGTGGTAGTGGTAGTGGTAGTGGTAGTGGTAGTGGTAGTGGTAGTGGTAGTGGTAGTGGTAGTGGTAGTGGTAGTGGTAGTAGGTAGTATAGTACATAGTATGTAGTACGTAGTACATACATAATACGTAGTACGTATAGTACATAATAGTACGTCGTACATAGTACGCAGTACCTAGTACGTAGCATGTAGCGCGTATAGCCCGTAGTACGCAGTGTGTAGTATACGTAGTGATAGTGTGTAGTACGTAGTACGTAGTACGTTGTACGTTGTACGTAGTATATACGTAGTACGTAGTACGTATATACGTAGGACGCAGGACGTACTACGTAGTATAGCAACAGTAATCAACAGCATAACAGTATGTAGTAGCAGTCGTAGCAGCAGCAGCGACAGTACAAGCTGCGGCTGCTGCTGTGAGCAGCAAAAGGAGTAGCAGTAGTGACAGTCGTCGTCATCGTCGGGTCGTGGTGGTAGGAGCAGTGGCGCGCGCACACACACATAAAGACACACACACACACACACTCACTCACACACGCCTCCACCGAGCCTCCATGTGAAAGTCTTCGAGCTGAGAGTGCAGGCAGCCTGGCTCAGGTTCAAAGCGTGTTCGATGTCTGACCAAAACCGAAAATTGAGAGCTGGCTCGTACCGTTGCTGTTACGTTACTTCCTATCTTGTTGCGGCGTCGGCTTCACTGTAGTCATTACATTATATAACTGTTTGTTAATACGTGACGCGTGCGATTGCTGCTGCTGCTCTTGTGATTCGTGACAGTAATAGCCTTTCCCACTCTTGTTTACTTCTACTGCGGGTCATGGCTCTTGCTACTCAGCTGCGACTCTTTTTCTTCTTGCACTGCTGCAACTGCTCCTCCTGCCACTACCGCTACCACTGAGAAGAATAACACCGCAAACAAGGCTACAATCACACAAACACTAAGATGAACAAGCAGAATGCAGCTGCTGTCGCTGCTGCTGCTGTTACCACCACCACTATCACCACGACTGCTGCCAGTATTACTCTACTACCACCACAACTACTACTACTGCTACTACTACTACTACTACCACCGCCACAATCACCACCACCACGACTGCCACTACCACTACCACCACCACTACCACTACCACCACCGCAACCACCACCACCACCACCACCACCACCACCACTACTACTACTACTACTACTGCTACTACTACTTCACTGCTAACGACAATAGTAATGTTCATAGCGGCACTACTAAAAGAAAAGCCTCATGCCAAGAACCCCTGTCAAGCTTGTCACTATGGCACTGAGGGTGGTCTTGGCCGTTCCGAGGTTGGCTGCTGACAGCCTTTCATTCTCAGTACGTGATTTAGGGATTGGCTGTGCGGGTGCTTCGACAGATCCGGGCAGAGACTTCGGCCCAGATTGGAAACCTGGGAGCTCGGGGTGCATTCCGCCCGCACAGGGAACCACACTGCGAAAGGAAACTTCGAGACCCTACCATACATTCAGCCATGGATCTGCCGGAGGGGCGGTCACACTTCTCGGGCTGGTACCTGCACAAGAATGAAGTTGAATAGTGTTCGGGCTGCTGCCACTTCCATTTAAAGTCGCCAAGCGATACAGTCATGCTTAATACACCTGTTCTCGGAAACCTGGATCGTGTGCTTCAGGCAGCGTATAATTGAAAAAAAAGCTACAAGCCTCCTCTTCTTCAACCCCATAGTGGCACGACACCCAACCTGACACAAACCCCCTCGTGAAAATAGTACTACCTCGTGGCAGCCAAAAACAGCATTCGCGGCAGAGTTTGTCCCCCAACAATAGCCATAATCTGGGGGAGTGGACGGGGTGGGTTGGCAATGCTCACCGTTCAATAGGATGGGCACCAACCAACCGCAGCAACTATTGAAGCCGCCATGGCGCAGCGCAGCAGTACTTCGCTCGCGGCTCGATACTTGGAGGACGACCAGCGGGCATAATGACACTCTCTATACCCATGCCAAACCCCGGAAGAGGTGACAAGCCCGACCTTGCATCAAACCTCGCCCACAACCCGGCCTAAATGCTGGGTACGAAACGCCGATCTTGTCGCAGGTCCTAGCCACCGGTTGGCGAATCGGAAATGGTGGGGGGTATTCGGAGGTGGCGTGTGCTCAAGAGTTCTGCCAGCGACAGGTTCTCTCAGAAGCTCGAAACCCCGATTTCGCGAGAGGCGGCCTCATGCAAAAAAAGGCCTTCAGAAGACTTTCTCCGACTCTCCCCTTCCCGGCCCCCCACCCCAGGAGGAGCTCCAGGCCTGGCCCGTAGGTTTCCTGCCATCCCAACACCCGAAACTGGCAATCAAAAGACCGAACGACATGAACTCTCAAACTCAAGCTTCTCCCTCCTGCCCGCAAGATCGAAGAGTGACCTGACGAGGTCCAGACGTGGTCAAGGAACCCCAACAAGTCTGAAGCAGAGAGGTTTCTTGAGTGGGATCCTGGGTCTTGGGGCATTGGGGAGGAGAAGGGAGGGCTGTATGGGGGTTGACACTTTAGCTTTCAAAGGTTCGGTACGGGTGACATTCCATGATGGCAGTCGGCGATGAGCTCGAAAGTTAAAGGATTTCGGCTTAGGGAATGCTGCGTTGAGGAGCGTGAGGGTCTGAGATGTATGGTTCGAATCTAGGGTTGCAAGATCGAGAGGTTTGGCAGAGTTGGGATCTCGATATTGGGTGCTGCAGCTGGCGCTTCCTCCTGTTGGCATTCCCAATACCAGCGCTGTAGTTGCGATGCCACTCCCATTCTCACGGCTATCCCTATCGGCTTCAGACGAGTTGCTTGGAGTTTTCATTTGTGTGCATTGTTGGATAGCTTAGATGCTTTCTTAGTCCCACTTGAGCTTGCTGGTTCCGGATATGGACGGCTGGACGATTTAAGGTCTGGGCTTCAGGCTGGGCAGCATCATCCAAAGCAGAATATTCGAAGGATCATCGCGCTAGAACATGGCCATCATGCCGAGCAAGGCCCAAGAAGGAAACAAACAAGACTCGGAAGATTCCTCGCAACATTCGTCAGAAGACCGTTGTTAGATCAGCTGTTAGACCCTCTACGGAGGGCTCGCTAAGTCTAGGCCCCAACTCCAAAACCTCCAATGGCAAAATCCGAAACATTCCCGCCTGTCCAGCAACATTGCGTTCTGTAGCGGCCTGAGCGCCCACGACAGGAGTTGCAAGCTTGGGAGCATTGCAGAAAAAGACTTGTGAAGTTGCCCGGGAACAGAGCCCCATTGTACGCAAATTCTAGGCACCTGACGCTATGACTTAGAAACTCCGACGAACCCGCACCGCCTTCAAAACCTTTTGCTCGAGAAGCACCGCCCCGACAATCGGACACCCCCAGATGCGCGATCACCACGGGAACCGTGAAATCCCCACTAAGATGCAATCGACAAAGACCACATCAAGAACAGGACGTTTCTGGTGCTGAGATCCACAGCCACAAACTGAAGGAGTCTGAGCTTCAACGAGGCTCAGGCGCTGAGGGGGTCACACGCTCGTGTCCTCGAGAATGAACAGCCAGGGGTCTGGAGTCTAGGGCCTGGGGGTTCAGGGCTTGGGGTGGTGAGGGTGCGATCTACATATTTTCATGTCAGATACCACGCCGCCTTGCTGCTCTGGCCGTCTAATTCCAAAGTTTCAACATGCCATTCGCTTTGACCTCGAATGCCTCACCTGAAGCCTACACCCTGCGCTTCAAATATCTTAAATGGCTCCAGGATTGGAACAAGAAAGTCCTGCTGGACGCTGCGGAACGACCAAATACCTTGGGCAGGCTTCCAGCAACCCAAACTTTCTGTATTTACGGCGTGATACAAATCGTAAGTGTTTAACGTTAAAAAACATGCGACGAAGTGTTCGGCACTTGCATGTGCTTCAGCATGTGCATGTGCCACGATTTGATGCAGTTTTGGCACAAAGTGCCCCGATGAGCCTCTGGCTTGGCGAAACTAGTCGGCAGCCATAGCTTCGTGTTAAAACGGCATCGTTTCCGTGCTCCCTGTGTGACTCGTATTTTACTTGGTGTACTAGGAAGGAAATACGGCTCGCTGGAAGAAGGACATAGTGCTAGCAACCGAGGCAGACATTGCTAATCGGCACACGCTGGGTGGTCACAGAAAACTGATGAGCATTGCTCCTAGGTAGGGTCGTTGTAGGCTGCTTGGGAGGGCCCTGATGGAAAAAGGAATACAGGCTTCCTTGTGTGGCACCATCTTTCGAACGAGGAAGACCAAAATCGAAGTCGTAACTGTAACCGTTCGTCGCGCTCCCTGTGGTTGAATTAGGGCTGGGAATACTTGCTGGACTCCTGTAAAACAAAAGGTAGTCTCACCGGGAAGCAAAATGGGTGGTTGTAACGGTATAAAAGGGAGAGCGCAAAAGTATCAAGAATACAACTTGCAAACAGCCTTCGCTGAGACACCTTCTGCTACAGTCCGCCATTGTCAATGCCTGCGTCGAAATGTCTTTTGGGGGATCATGCGGCTGTAACAACAGAACTAGATTCGCTTGCACTGAGAACTCTTGAGAACTCTTCAAGCCGGTTCTTTCACGCTGAACGACGAATCCTTCAGTTCTCTGAGAGACGATCCATCACTCCCATCCTTTTGAAGCCTTAGTCTTCTTCCCACCCCGACCTATGCTCACAAGTTTTTAGTACCGTTAATATTCCAAAGAGGGATGCTGTACGTCGCGCCTACAATCACTAGGGTTAGAACTCCAGACAGGGGCAGCATACAGTAAAACCAGTGAAATGCAGCAAGTCCTGAAGCTTGCAGACCTATCATTTCTTCAGTACCCTCATGATGAATGTTGTGACAGCACACGATGCCAGAACTGCAGCGATGAATTCGGAGACTTCACTATTCAGGCACCATGGGCCCTGGTATCTGGGCAACCATGGATGCAATGAAACAACTTCTCATGTCGACCGACAGAGGTGCTCTCCAAAGTGCCTCGCCAAAAAAAGTCGCAGCGACGACTACACTGACAAGTCCAAAGAGCTGCAAACTTCATCAGGGTCACGAGCAACACCCGCCTTCACCCCCTTTGTGAACCCTGAACCGAAAACTTCAAATTTCAGCTCAGATGCTTGGACTCAAAGCGGTGCGGTGCCACTGCAGCAGCCAGGTCGCCCACGAGCTCTGCACGAAGTGCGCCTGGTGAAGCGGGGATCCCAGCCTGTTTGAGCTTTTGGTGTCATCCACAACCAGTGTACTGTCGGGAACAGGCTATACTGCTAGTGCTACTACTACTCCTACTGCTACTGCTACTGCTACTGCTACTGCTACTGCTACTGCTACTACTACTACTACTACTACTACTGCTGCTACCACTAAACCTGCTGCCTCCTGCTACTACTACTACTCCTCCTCCTGCTGCTGCTACTGCTACAACTAGGTAGCGCGTGCGTCTGCCGCCCCGCGGGGTGCGAGGTTTGTTTTTGTGAGGTTCATTGGTCAAAAGCCTGAAAACCTAGATTCGTGTATGGTTTTCGTGAACAAGACGATGTTTCATTGCTTTGTTCTTCAAAGCAGGTTAGTCTCGTTTTTTGGTGAGGTTTTTGCGAAAGTGTCGCAACTACCGTGCTTATCTCCTGTTTTATTGTAGATTGTTAGGGTCAGTTGCGAAGTTGTCGTCTAGAAGGCCTAGAACACACGAGTGTGTTTTGTATTGGTGGCGTCTTAAAGGTAACGTAACGTAACACGAGGGCAACAGGGAGCAACATTGTCATTGTCACTGTTATCACCGTAGGTATCGTCATCGCCACTGTTATCTTCCGCATGAACAACATCAACATCATCAACATCCCCCCATCCCCCTGCTCCACCGATCCACAGAGCAGAAAGAGAAACTGTACATGTAAGCCGCAGTCGCATGGACGTCATCAGCGCCCCCCAATCCCACCCCTGCACGGAGGTCAAATACATACACATGGAAGTCCAAGCTGGCATGCGCGAAAAGTCGAGGGTCGGCACAGTGCTGCCCGCAAAATTTTAAGAAAACCCGGGTAAAAACCAAGCGAAATGCCCACATCCCCCACTCCCTACCGATGCACAAAGCGCAAAACAACAAGAGAAACACAACACAGGAGCCGCATTCGCATGGACGTCATCACACCCCCGCCATCACACAACCCCCCCCCCCCCCCCCCCCCCCCCCCCCCCCCCCCCACCAATGTACCGCACCAGAACAAGGTCAACAAGATAATCACAAGACAGAATCCGCATTCGCATGGACGTCATCAGCCCCCCCACTCCCCACCCCTCCACAGAGCCTAAGTACAAATGGAAGTCTAAGCTGGCTTTTGCAAAAAGTCGAGAGGCGGCAAAAACATCGTAAAAGTCGATGCGAAATGCGACACGCATAGAAAAACATCGAAAACAACACCGCGAAATGGAGAGCTCAGCACTTTTTGCTCAGTGCAGCCTGCCAGGTGGCGCATTTTTTTGTTAGACAACACCGCAAAAAAAGAAACGACGCGAAAGCAAAACGCAAATTCCCGAAATCACACCACCCCGCGCGGCGGCAGACGCGCGTGCTGCCTACAACTACTCCCGCTGCGGCTGCAATTATTGCGACTGCCAGGAGCAGTATCACTCCCACTCTCTCTGTCATCACGAATACGATCGCTACTATTCCTGCTGCCACTGACCCCAGCTGGAAAGCCTACAAAGGCTAGGAAATGCATCAACCGCTTGGCCGGCCTCCCTCGGCCGTAGCCACAGGTTGATAATGACCTGTGCAGCAACAAGCCGCAAAAGGTTAGCGCCGAGAAATTCGGAACTTGGGTTGAAGGCATGTCTACAGCTGCATGTGACAACCCGCGAAACTCCTACACGCGAGAAAC